GACGGGGTTTCACTGTGTTAGCCAGGATGGTCTCGATCTCCTGACCTCGTGATCCGCCCGTCTTGGCCTCCCAAAGTGCTGGGATTAGAGGCGTGAGCCACCGCACCCAGCCTACAATTTTTTTTCATCAGTGTTTTGTAATTCTTCTTGTAGAGCTCTTTCACCTCCTTGGTTAAATGCATTCCTAGTATATGTGTGTGTGTGTGTGTATATATATATGTATTCCTACTGTGTGTGTGTATATACATATATACATACACTAGGAATACATATATACACTAGGAATACATATATACACATACAAACATATACATATATACATACATATACACACCTATATATAACACATATAGGTGTGTATCTCTATAGGTGTATCTATCTATCTATATCTGTCTATATGTAGCTATTGTATATGGAATTGAGTTCTTGATTTGGTTCTTAGCTTGATTGTTATTGGTGTATAGAAATGCTACTGATTTTTGTACATTGATTTTGTATCTTGAAACTACTGAAACCATTTATTAAATATAGGAGTCTTTCGGAGGAGCCTTGAGGGTATTGTAGGTGTAAGATTATATCATCAGTGAACTGAGATGTTTTGACTTCCTCTTTTCCAATTTGGGTGCCTTTTATTTCTCTCTCTTGCGTGATTGTTTTATTCAATACTATGTTGAATACGAGTGGTGAAAGCGGGCATCCTTGTCTTTTTCCAGTTCTTAGGGGGAATGTTTTTAACTTTTTACCATTCAGTATGATGTTGATTGTGATTTTGTCATATATAGATTTATTATTCTGAGGTATGTTCTTTTGATGCCTAGTTTGTTGAGAGTTTTTATCATGAAGTAATGTTGGATTTAATTGAATGCTTTTTCTGCATCAAAACTATTATATATTTTTGTTTTAATTCTGCTTATGTGGTGAATGACATTTATTTATTTGCATATGTTGAACCATCTCTGCTTCCTAGGAATAAAGCCCACTTGATTGTGGGAATTAACTTTTTGATGTGTTGTTGGATTTAGTTTGCTAATTTTTTGTTGTGAACTTTTGCATCGATATCCATCAGGGATATTGGCCTGCAGTTTTGGTTGTTATTGTGTCCTTACCTGGCGCTGGTATCAGAGTGGCTTTGTAGATGAGTTGGGGAGGATTCCCTCCTCCTCAATTTTTGGGAACAGTTTTTGTAGGGTTGGTATTCTTCCTTTTACATCTGGTAGAATTTGGCTGTGAATCCATCTGGTCCTGGGCTTTTTGTTGTTGAGAGATTCTTTTTAAAATTACTGATTTAATTGAATTATTTGTTATTGGTCTATTCATGATTTCTATTTCTTCCTGGTTCAGTCTTGAGATGTTGTATGCTTCCAGGAATTTATCCATTTCCTCTAGGTTTTTTAGTTTGTGTGCATGGAGATGCTCATAGTAATCTCTGACAATCTTTTGTTATTTCTGTGATATCAACTGTAATGTGACCTTTATCATTTCTGATTGTGGGTATTCTAATCTTATCTCTTTTTTTCTTGGTTAATCTAGCTAGTGGTCTGTGAGTTCTGTTTATCTTTTCAAATAACCAACTTTTTGTTTCATTGATCCTTTCTATTTCTTTTTTGGTCTCAATACCATTTAGTTCTGCTGTTTTTTGTTATTTCTTTTGCTAGTTTTGGGTTTTGTTTGTTCTTGCTTTTCTAGTTTTTTGGGATGTGACATTAGGTTGTTAATTTGAGACTTTTCTATCTTTCTGACAGAGGCATTTGATGCTATAACATTCCATCTTATCACTGTTTTTTGTTGTATCCCAGAGGTTTTGGTATGTTGTGTCTCTATTTTCATTCATTTCAAAAAAATCTTTAACTTTGGCCTTAATTTTATCATTTACCCAATGATCATTCAGGATCAGGTTGTTTAATTTCCATGTATTTGTATAGTTTTGAGAGTTAATTGGTATTGATTTCTAGTTTTCTTCCACTGTAGTCCAACAAGATACTTGATATGATTTTAATTTTTAAAAAATTTATTGAGGCTTGCTTTGTGGCCTAGTATATGGTCTGTTTTTGAGAATGTTCCATGTGCAGAAGAGATGAGTATATATTCTGCCATTGTTGACTAGAAAGTTCTGTAAATGTCTGCTAGGTCTGTTTGGCATAGAGTCCAATTTAAGTCTAGAGTTTCTTTGTTGATTTTCTGCCTTGATGATCTGTCTAGTGCTGTCAGGGGGGTGTTGAAGTTCCCTACTACTATTATATCGCCATTCATCTCTTTTCTTAGGTCTAGCAGTATTTGTTTTATGAATGTGGGTGCTCTTGTGTTGGGTGCATATATATTTAGGATTGTTATATCTTCTTATTGAATTGACCCTTGTATCATTACATAATGAACTTCCTTATCTTTTTTTTTTTTTTTTTTTAACTGTTTTGACTTAAAGTCTGTTTTACTTGATATAGTGTAGCAACTCCTGTTCCTTTTTGATTTCCATTTAAATGGAATATCTTTCTCCACCCTTGATTTTGAGTCTGTAAATGTCTTTATCAGTTAGGGGGTTTCTTGTAAGCAGCATATGGTTGGATTTTGTGTTTTTATTTATTCTGTCAGCCTATATTTTTTAAGTGAAGCATTTAGTTCATTTATGTTTAAGGTTAATATTGATATGTGAGGATTTATTCCTGTCATAATGTTAATGGCTATCCAGTTGCTTTGCAGTCTCGATTGAGTAATTGCTTTATAAGTCCTGTGAGTTTTATACTTTCATATGTTTTTATGATAGTGTGTATTGTCCTTTAGTTTCCATGTGTAGAACTTCTTTGAGCATTTCTTATAGGATCAGCCTAGTGGTGACAAATTCCCTTAGCATTTTCTTGTTTAGGAAACACTTTATTTCTCCTTAAAAATATGGAATGCTTCACGAATTTGCATGCCATCCTACCTCAGGGGCCACACTAATCTTCTCTATATCATTTCAGTTTTAATGTATGTCCTAGCAAAGTGAGAACAACTCAAAGCTTTTAATTGGTTTGTTTAGACTCAAGGATCTTTCACTGAACCTCTGAAAAGATGAGGCCATGTCACTGGAGCTGATTCAGTGACATGGCCCATACTAAAACGGGCATTGGGTCAGGGGATGGGGTGAACCAGGACTGTGACTTGATACTGGGCTGAGCATTGAGCTAGACATGAAAGGGTACAGGGAGCACATGTGTGATTAAATCAAGTTTCTCAACCTCAGTACAAGTGACATTTTGGCTCAGATAATTCATTGTTGTAGGGGGCTGTCCTGTCCTAGGATGTTTAGCAGTATCCTTGGCTTCTACCAACTAGCATTCCCCTGCATCCCAGTTTTCACAACCAAAAATATCTCATGACATTGCCAAATGTCCTCTGGGGGGCTAAATTGCATCCTTATAAAGAACTACCAGGCTAAACTTTTGTAGTGGATAAAAGCTTTGTATATCCCCAGAAGAATATATTATCCCAGGCTTGGCTCTTTTGATTCAGGAAAACTTTGGCACTAAGAAATCTTGACGTTGTTTTTTGCCTGTCTCTAGGGAGGCTGCCGACAGTGGAATATATTAGCTTTGTGATGAGGGTGGGTTCTGGGAATATGTTCTATCTTGCAGGGTGCCCTGTAATCCTGTGGACAATGGGCTGCTGTGTTTTGCAGGTACACCACCCAATGCTGCAGCACTAGAGGCAGCCCAAGACCTGATCCAGTGTGCCATGGTCAAGGGGTACCTGACTCCCAACTACCTGCTGGTGGGCCACAGTGATGTGGCCCGAACCTTGTCTCCTGGGCAGGCTTTGTACAACATCATCAGCACCTGGCCTCATTTCAAACACTGAGAGAAGCCCCAGGTCCTTCTGAGACTGCTCTCCCTCCCCTGTCAGGTCTCTCTTGTCCTCACCATCCACCTTGGCTCAACACCTATGTCCTCCTCCCCTGCCAGCCCATCCTGGGCTTCCTTTTTGAGGTTGGGATGATCATGCCCTCTCCTGCCAACATCCTCCAAGGGCCTACAAACCTCATAGCTGGACATTCACAGTCCTCTGACTCTGAGTCCAGACTTCTTCTCTCCTTACCTTCCTCTCCCCTGGAAACCCAACTCCTCAGCCAGGTGAGACAATGAACCGGTTCTTGTTTCATTTCTCTCTCTCTCTCTTTTTTTCTCTCTCTCTCTCCTTCTCTCTCTCTCTCTCTCCATGCCCCCCTGCCAGGTGAGCCTTCCCCTGGTGTCTGCCTGGCAGCCGCCACCTCCCACCCATCACCCCTCACCCATAACTCAGGTCAATGTGACCACTCTTCTTTCTTACACATAAACTTGTATATATTTGGATGCAGCCCTTATTTAAGGGCTGTCATTATTTATATCCTTGCTACTTGGTTGTGAGTTTCTCCGGGAGAAGAACTGTGTTTTATTCATCTATATGTCCTCTGTTTCTCAGCAGTGTCTGAAATTTAATAGGTTCTACTGATATTTATTAGATAAGTGGATGAATAAATGAATGAAGAGATCCAAATTCATGTTCACCTTGCCAATTCACTACATTATCCCCTATTTGGAGGAGAACTTTCTGGACAGTGCCCCCATACCACCAGCATTTTCTGCATTTCTGTTCCCTCCCAGTCCAAGAGCCATAAGATCTATATGGTACCAGCATCTGTGTAAGAGGAAGCAAAGAGAAACAACAGAGTGTCTGGTGGACATGAGAACCTAAAATAACCAAGATAATTTTACCCCAAATTTTTGACAGCTTAGCATCTAAAATCAAGAGGCCTTTTTGCACACCCCAATGGTGTGTAAACACAAAGGATTCTGCAGTAAGATCTGCGGGAACTGGAACGGTCTGGGTCTTATGCCTCTCAAAACTAGCCAGATAAAATTCCCTTCTAGAACAAAGTACAGGGGAGAACTGCTGGAAACAGAATCTAATTCAGTCCAGACATAAGACATAAAAAAAATAAAAATAGACAAGAAGCTCACATGAAAGTGTGGAAAGGCAGTGGAGCAAGAAGCTCTCTGAATATAAGCCATCATAATGTTGAACATTTACTTGAAAAAAATAATAGAAGAAGGTGTTCCAGAGTGATTGAATTAAAAAAGCTCTTCAACACCATACATCTTCTTTAAAGTTGAGGAAAGCTAATACAGACAATAAACAACAGAAAATACTTGAGGTTCAAACCCACATAAAGTTATTTTAAGATAAAAATAGAATCAGGAGCAGAATTAAGAAAATACAAGCATTACATAAAGACATGCTTATGGGTGAAAACTATAAACTGCAATTTCAAACTGAGCTTAAATAATTAGGAAAATAATACAAGATATGAAAGAACAATTAATGGAAACTACAAACTCAGAAACAAGGTAATGGGGCTCAGAAGAGAATAAGAAATAAAGGAAATATCCATTTCAGAAATAACCAGTTAAAAAATGTTAAAAGTGGATGCACATAATGGATAATGCCTTTAAAGAAAAATAAGATAAAAGGAAGGAAAATTCTAAAATAAAAGATAAATTAAAAAGTAAGATGAAAAGAATTAGAGAGAAATGATAAATGTAAAGCATAGGCAAAGAAGATACAAGACACGTGTAACTGGAGTCCCTAAAGAAGAAAATTGAAGTAAAGGAACAGAACAAATATTCTAAACTACTATGCTAGAAACACCTCCTGAAATAAAAAAATTTTGAAATTTTGTTTTTAAAGGGCACACTTCATGCCAGAAAAGATGCACTCAAAATGATGGATGCAAACATAAGGTCTAGCTGAACTAATGGATTTTTAAGAACTTAGTCTCTTTAGTGGAAAATATCCTTTGGGCATTCAGGAAAAAAACCAAAAACAAATTACTAACAAGAGAGAAAAATATCATCAGACTTATTGACAACAACATTTTGGACTAGGAGAAAATATAATAAAATGTTTTAAAAATAAGAAAAAATGTGATCCAAGGATTATGTTCAACTAAAATGACTTTTATGTATAAAGGTCACAAATAAACTGTCATAAACATGGAAGAATTCTGTGAATATTATTCTCATGAGACTCTTTGTAAGAACCTACAAGAGAATGTCTTTAAAAATGACCAAAATAACTGGAGAGACACTGGCATTATGACTGGTGGTAAACATTTAATATATATTTACTTGTAAAATTAAGACCAAATGAAGGTTATTAGAAAAATAGTATTGTATGTAATGGTTATGAACTCTGACAGTGTAGTATAAGGTAGAAGGTAGAACTGTAAAAAACTGGGGAGAGAATAAGGAAAGCATCTGCAAGTTAATTTTTAAAACCATTTTAGTAATCATATTGTAGTTCTAATATTAATATTGTTATTAGAAGAAAGTTTAGTATGAGACGTTGAATCAAACAAATGAGTAATTACGTGATATTCTAATTCCATCATCCCCAGTGTTTTTGAAGTAGGATTCTCAGTGTGGGACAAGGAGATACAGATGAATACAGCAGAGGTTAAGTGATGCACTGTGTCCCTGGATGTGAATTAAAAAATAACAGAGTGAACTCATTTATGAACATATGAGGTGTTTCATCTTAAATAACTTTACCTTTGCTCACTGAAAGGGCCCAGAAATCTGATCAATATGGTAGCAATAAGTATCCATAGCACCCAAGTTGTGATCTTAAAATACCACTTCCCAGTAAAAGAAATCAACAGTTCTTAGAGAAATGGCTGATTTCAGGTCTGGGATGGGAAACATATAAGTTAAAACATTTTATCATATCAGATAACAATGAAGCTATTAAATATTTCTCATATTGGGTCGAAAGGACTTGGGAAATTTCTACTGTCTAAAGGGAAAATTCCAGTGTCTAACGGCTAATGACAATGTGAGCATCAATAGCAACAATAATTGCAATGTGTCTGAGCTTGTTAAGTTTAAATCAACACATTCATAATAATAACAAAAAAACCCCCCGAATTGTCACTTCTAGGACATCCACTGAATCTACTTTTTTACTTTAAAACTTGTAAAAAAAGGGAAAGAGAAAAGTACCTATTCTTCCTTTCCTATACAAAGAATACAGTTGAATAACCAAATAATAGAGAACTTCTCCTAATAGATGTACTCTAACAAATAAATGAAAAAGTAATGGTAGAAATGGAATATCATCACCTTGCAAGCCCTAATAAAAAAACCTAGGCATTAACGACTGTTAACATCACACACACAGCTCCCAGCTGATGAAAGGTCTGTGGACTCAGGAAACACGCTTGTCTTTTCACCACCGTTTATCTAGCTGCTGCATGTAGTAGTTGCTAACTAAACATAAGCTAAGTTGGATGAATGTAGAATCCCAAGACTCCAGGGAATATACTCCTTAATATCTGACATTGTTTTAATAGCTGATCCAGAGTGGTATAGGCTTGATGGGATCTGGTCCTCCTAAGATCCCACATGTTCATCATGGGAATTGGTGTTGGCTGCAGGGTGGGGAGTTGGGAGTGAGAGGATGGAAGAGTCAAAAGGAAACATATCCAGGATTGAACCCAATTAGAGCAGACCCACAGAGTCAACATGTAGCCTATGTGAGGTGGCAATTTTTACTGAGTCTTTTCTGTGTGCACAGAGTCTATGGGGATTCATGAATCTTCATAACAATTTTGTGGACTAGGTATTGTCATTTCTGCTTGATAGCTGAGGAAACAGATTCAGAGAGGTTAATAAGTTTGTCTAATGTCATATAACTTATGGGTGTCAGTTCCAAGATGGGCTTGCATCTAGGTATATCTGACCTCATATCTTTTGGGAAGTATACCATGGAAAGCTTTCTTTGGATTTCAAATTCCTTCTTAAATGCTGTGACCAGAAGTGAACACAATACTCCAAGGATTTCCAGACTCAGGTGGAGCTGAGTGGAGCCATTATTTCTCTTATTACAATACACTAATTATATATGGTGATACATATGAAAATGCTTTGTGAATGATATAGTTCTCAACTGATAGTTGTAATAATTATAAGGCCTAAGACTGCATGATCTATTTTGATATCTATATTCTTCTGATCACCTTCATTGATTTGGCAGATGGGAAAAACGATCAGGTTTTCTATAAAGAAGTTATATAAATCCACATTTCAACCAATGTGCCTAATCATACCCAGTGTTTAAAAGAGTATAGTTTGTCCTGATTTAGTGGCATCATAGTTTTTCAGCCATGAAATATTTCAAAATCTCGATTTTGTCATCTGCTTTGAGCTCACTGTGCACTCAGCGCTTTTGGGTCATCTGAAAATATGAGCAGCATGTCTTCTCTGCCTTATTGTATCCTTCATCAACATTCTTCCCGTAGGGAATTCAGACCACACTTGTTAGATGCCGTGTGCCAGGTACTTCCGCATAATTGCCCCACCTAACCATCATAAAACCCCCGTAAAGTAGGTACTATAATGTCTGTTTGCAGATGAAGGCACCAAGAGGTGCCCAAGAATTAACCTGGCAGACAGAGTACAAGCTGGCTTTGAACCAGGCCCCTGACTCTGGATTCACTGTCAGCTTTCCTTTATCATAGCTTCTGGTGATTTCATCATAGCTTGTGTGATTTCACCAGTGACATCCTCCAGGGCCACCCACTTCATGAAGCGCACACCTTTCCTTTCATTTGTCAGTCACAAACATAATGACAAAATGAGAAGTACTACCATGTAGCCCATTTTGTTTTATAATGCTATAGAGGGAGGAAATAATGGCTGAAATTTGTGTGTGTGTGTGTGTATACATATTGCCACAATTGTCCAACATTCTCAGTCAGCTCGTATGGTATATTCAATCCTTCTTTTTTCACTTAGGTAAGTGATTCCTTTAACTCTGTCCTTAATTTTTCCTTTATCTGTTTGAGTAAAAAAAATATATGGGGCACTAGTTCACATTTCAAGTGTGAAGTTTCCGGCATTTCATGACCTGTAAGGCCCTTCAATTAATGTCAGACACCAGCCAGTTATTGAACCATGTGTGTCTGCCTCAGCATTATGTTTTGAGGGGGCATGTGGAAAGAACACTGCTGGGTGGTGGCTGACTTGTCTTTTGCTCTCCACTGTATCCCCAATTCCTAACATGATGGGAGGACCACTGAAGCATACTGTTAGCTCAATAAATATT